TGAGACCTCCATGGCTCAGCAGAGGCACTGGGAGCTCTGATGGAATTCTGGAATTCTGCTGCCTCTGAGGGATAATGACTGATCTGTGCCTCCTTTCCTTGCAGGAGGCTGCAGGAAAAAAAAATTCTGATTTCTCTGGCTCAGATGCAGCCCCCAGTGCTGTGTTTGGAGCACAGCAAATAAACTGCAGGGGGATGATCCTGGTGCCATTTGGGTTGATTTTAAACAAGGAGGAGAGCTCACAGCCTCTCTTTAATCCTTTCAATTGGGAGGGAAAAAAAAAAAAAAAAAATAATTTAAAAGCTTCATTTCCCTAAGCCCCCTAAAGCAGTTAAATTTTTTTTTTTTTAATAACTACAGAGCTCGAGCAATTAGGAATGACATTTGCTGTGACAAGAGGCATTTTTTTTGGATGTGGCTTCAATATCTCATGTCCCTTCCATAATAATCTGGCAAATTCTGGGCCTTGTTCCTGACAGTAAACACATTTCAGCACACAAAAGGGATCTTTATCTGTGTGTTAGGAGTTACTTTTAGAAAATGTGCTTTAAAAAACAACCAATTAGCAACAGTCTGTGCTCCGGGGGGCTGGAAATGGGGGAATTAAGTGAGAGCTGCAGCTTCACTCCACAAACAACCAAAATTCTCTTTTTTTTTCTCCTTTTTAGATCCCGTGAGAAAAACAACAGAGAAGCACGGGAATAAAGCAATCCGTTGCATCAAAGCCACAGTGGGCAGCTTTTCCTCCAAATATATCAAATAATTCTATTTTTAAAAAAAAAAATAAATAAATAAAAATAATTAGGGAGCTTTCCTGGGACACGAAGCCACCCCATCCCATCCCGATATTTCTGCACTTGGCAATGAGGGTGACTCAGAAAACGTGGATCCGATTCAGCAGCTCCACTGCAAACGAACAAACCGTTCTTTGTGTCACACCACAAAAAAAAAAAAAAAAAAAAAAAAAAATGTCCCGGGAAGGGCTGGATGTGGCACTCAGGGCCCCGGGCTGGTGACAAGGTGCTGATCAAAGCTTGGACTCCGGGATCCTGGAGGGCTTTTCCAACATCGGGGATTGTGGGATTCAGCCAGGCCAGGCTCCAAAGGAGCTGCTGAGAGGGGCAGGGATGGAGAAATCCCNAAAAAAAAAAAAAAAAAACCCAAACCAATAAACACAGCAGACAGTAAAAGCGTGACTTTCATATAAACCAGAGGAGCAATAGCACAGAGCCCGAGATCAGCTCGCTGATAAAGAAAAAAGGAGAAATTCCTGCCAAAAAAAACTTTCCTGCTTTCCAACCCGCCTCTCTCCTGCTCTCAATTGTTTGATTGTTTCCTGGCTGGACCTTGAAACTACAGGAACCCTCCAAGATTCCAGGCAGCTCAGCTGCAACATCTGGATTGCTCCCAGATAAAGGAAAATTCAAAAATTCACAGGAAGCGCCAGTGAGGAGCACAAAAGGTGCTTGGGAAGGGTGGACTCAAGCCCTGAGAGGAAAATTCTGCTGCCTGGAGAAATCCTGGCAGGAAAATCCAGAATTTAAAGAATTAAACTGAGACCTGCTGCTTGCAGAAATCCTGGTAGGACAATCCAGAATTTAAAGAATTAAATTCAGAGCTGCTTGCAGAAATCCTGGTAGGACAATCCAGAATTTAAAGAATTTAATTCAGACCTGCTGCCTGCAGAAATCCCAGTAGGAAAATCCAGAATTTAAAGAATTAAATGAGACCTGCTGTTAGAAATCCTGGTAGGACAATCCAGAATTTAAAGAATTTAATTCAGACCTGCTGCTTGTGGAAATCCTGGTAGGAGAGCCCAGAAATTAAAGAATTAAGTTCAGACCTGCTGCTTGTAGAAATCCTGGTAGAAAAATCCAGAATTTAAAGAATTAAACTGAGACCTGCTGTTAGAAATCCTGGTAGGACAATCCAGAATTTAAAGAATTAAACTGAGACCTGCTGCTTGGAGAAATCCTGGTAGGACAATCCAGAATTTAAAGAATTTAATTCAGACCTGCTGCTTGCAGAAATCCTGATACTAGAACCCAAAATTTAAAGAATTTAATTCAGACCTGCTGCTTGTGGAAATCCTGGTAGGAGAGCCCAGAATTTAAAGAATTAAATTTAGAGCTGCTGCTTGCAGAAATCCTGGGAGTAGAACCCAGAATTTAAAGAATTAAATTCAGACCTGCTGCTTGTAGAAATCCCGATAGGAAAATCCAGAATTTAAACTTAGACCTGCTGCTTGCAGAAATCCTGGTAGGACAATCCAGAATTTAAAGAATTAAATTCAGACCTGCTGCTTG